TTTTTTGGTAATTTTAAAATGATATGTGTTATTTTTTTTGTCCCAATATATGTGAGCCTGCTAGAATTCTGAGAGTCAACGTATTGTATTATATAGCTTTTAAATATTTTAAATTGGTAATTATTGTAATTTTTAATGCTTTTTAAGTCATTTGTAAATGATATATGTTGCTTCCTTGATTGGGACTTTTCCATTTGTTACATATATATATAGATATTTGGTGCCCGTGTTAATTTTTTTTGTTTTAATTTATGTGATATAAATGAAATTTGAAGATCAATCGATTTTTTATATGTTTTCTTAAGAATATATTTGAAGTTATTAAATTGTTGTGATTTATAGTATTTTTTGCGTTAGTTTTGAATAATATAGGTTACTCATGTTTCAATTCACGTGAACAATCATAAATATTTTCAGTTGTTAATTTATTGTGAATTCTAGAAATTTTGACGTTATTTTCAAATAGTACATGTTACTTATTCTATTCCAATTAGTCAACCAAATTTCTTGTATGATTTAAAAATATTTTTAATTGCTAATTATTGTGATTTATAGCATCTTTTATGTAACTTTTAATAATATATAATTTGTTCAAATTCATATGACAATGAGGTCAAACTTTTGGGCTAATAAAGTAGTAGGTAATTAATGGTGTTAAATTGTCCAATAATATAAATTTTAAAGGTACAATCATAAAAGAAGAATGTACAACACTATCAAGCACATATCATCCAACACTTGTCATGTGGTAAGTAGTAGATATTCCATATATAGTAATATAGTAAAACATATCATGTAAGTTTTTCTATATGCTTAAAGATTAAAGAAATTTTACATTATTAAATTATCTAAAATATGAGTAATAATTATGTTGCAGTCTCACACAAATAGCTAGGCATAAGCTATGTATATAGAAGATACGTGAACTCGTGATGGAGTTATTAAATTTTGATTAAGGAAATTCAAATTATAAAGAAGTAAACACGAATTATTTGAATTAAATTTTTTACCTAAATTTTCAGTGAAAAGGTATAAACTGACACTCAAGCTCCTTATACAGGGATGACTCCACGGCTAACGTAAATCTAGTAACTTTAACACACCCTAAATATATATTTAAAAAATCACTAAATAGTTTACTCACGTGAACTCAATAAACTTGAGATTGCTCAAATCTTGAATTCACCTCTTCACATATGTGAATCTTCATCAATTATGATTCTCCTTTAATTAACTCTGCCTACGTGAGGTTGATCACATTATCGATTAAAAAACTATTATTATTATTTTTTTAAAAAAAGAGGTTACAATGTGTTGATAGTTAGTATGACTTCTCACTATAAATAACTATCCATAAATAATAAAAAGGTAAAGATTACTAACTTCAAAATAAGCAAAATTATTTATTATAACAAATTAAATTACACTGATAATATAAATGTGATAATATATATACATAGTCACCATTAGCTGTCGTTTATGAGTAAGAAGACCATTTATGCCCTATTTGCGTCCACGTTCATTTAGTCTTCCTAATCTGTCCCTATTGCTGGGTCCATGTGCACCCTTCAATTATTCAAACTAAAAATATGTCATTCTCACATTATATTTACAACTTTAACCCTCATTCTCACTAAACATTTATTTAATTTGTTCCCATGAATTATAACTTTATCATCCCTCAATTATTAATAAATTGCAATTTTAATCCTTATAATATTTCATTTAATATATTCAACCTTCAATTAATTGAAATGTGTGACGTTGTTGATCCTTTTAGGTAAGATAATATTGTATATGCGTTATTTTTAGAACTATGTTACTCTCAAGTCTCAAGTATGGAGTAACAATACAAGTTAACTCGCCTGGGATTGAAGTGTGGACAGGTTCTTTTGGAGTTAGCTCATCCTAGTATCGGAATTGAATCAGAAAGCAAGACAAAATATGCTCGTACTGCTGTAAAACGAACTTCCTTTGAATTAATTGCTAGTGAATAGTAGTGAAATTTCTCTTTTTGGTTGCTACACTCATTTCTTATTCTTTTTTTTTTCTCTCGCTAAAGTCAAGCTAGCCTCAACAGATCGAACAATACAGACTTAACATAACACATGAGTAACTACATAGATGGAACAATTGATATTCACAAGCAAATGGATCAAAAGTGCACATTTCAACTAATTAAAGATCAAATATGCTTAATCAGATATCATAAGGACTAAAATCAGAATTCATCAATAACCTAGGGACTAAAAATGATACAAATCCTTGTTGCCACAAACACCCTTTTTGTAAATTCACCATATTAGTCAATTATTGTTACTCTTATACATGCTTTTAAAAACCATAATATGTAGAACATAAAAAAAAGACCAACAATAATAAAAACATGGCTCTAGCCAAAAATGGTGCTGAAATTCCCCTGTTACCAAAAACAGAACAAACTCTGTTTACAAGGGAAAATCAGCAGCTGATTTTGAGGGCAGTGTTCAACGTATCGACGAGTATAATTGGTGCTGGGATTATGTCTGTTCCAGCAACTCTGAAGGTTTTAGGTGTAATCCCAGCATTTGTGTTGATTATTTTGGTTGCTCTTTTGGTTGACATATCGGTAGAGTTCATGTTGAGGTTAACGTATAGAGGCGAATCGAAAACTTATGCTGCATTGATGAATGAGTCATTTGGGAAAATTGGTTCTGTTGCAGTTCAAATATGTATCATGATAACAAATCTTGGTTGCTTGATCATGTACCTTATTATTATTGGTAAGTATACGTGCTGATTAGCTATGAATTTTGTCGTTGATTTGTTGTTAAGTAGCTCGTAGCTAACATGATTTTTTTGATGATTAGTTGTTAATCCTTTGTTAAATAGGACTATTGACGGATTTTTATCGTTTAGCTATAGAAGTTGTCATCATATCAAACTAAAAAAGAAAGCAATTATTAGTGGGCGTTTGACCATGTTTTCATTATATAATTTGAAAAAAAAAAGTAGTTTTTGTTTTCAAAGTAAAAAACGATATTTGAAAATATGTTATTTTCTATGAGTAGGAGATGTTCTTTCTGGACAAGGAGAACATCTTGGTGTTCTACAAGAATGGCTTGGGATTCACTGGTGGAACTCGCGTAATTTTGCGATCCTCTTCATTGTCTTGTTTGTTATGCTCCCTCTCGTCCTCTATCGACGTATTGGTCAGTAAATACTACCTTTTTCTTGACAAAAATTTCTACAAAATTAGTGAAAATATTATTGCTGACATTTTTTTATGTGGCTTGTGATTGATTGTAGAATCATTGTGGTTGAGTTCAGCATTAGCTGTTCTACTAGCAATTGTATTTGTTGTCATATGTTCAGTTATGGCAATCACAGCAATACTAAATGGGAAAACAGTAAGTCCAAGAATGTTACCTAAGATGGATGATGAAACATCTTTTTTTAACCTTTTTACTGCTGTTCCTGTCATTGTTACAGCATTTACATTTCACTTCAATGGTAAGAATCCGATATTGATCTTTTCGATTCTTGTTTAGTATTTCAAGGCGTAATACGTAAACAAACACACAAACTTGGCCTCAAGTGAATAAATACTCCAACTTTGAGTATATATGCATATCTAGACACCTCAACTCGTCTCCACTGTGTCAGTTAAACACTCCGACTTACAAAATGATCATCTAGACACCAATGACTAATTTATGTGACATTGTCCACGGATCACGAGGCACAGTGGGGATGAGTTGGAGTGTTTAGTTGTCAGTTGAGACTAAGTTGAAGTGTCTAGACGTGCAATGTCAAAGTTGTAGTACTTACGTTACTTGTCAGTTGAGGTCAAATTTTGAGTGTTTGTTTATGTTTTATGCCTGAATTCTTTGATGAACGTGACGTTATAACTTGTTTGCAGTTCATCCGATTGCAACTGAGCTGGGAAAGCCTGCAGCTATGTCTTCTGCTGTCAAGATTTCACTAGTACTATGTGCAGCTATCTATTTTTCAATTGGGATTTTCGGGTACCTTCTATTCGGGGATTCAATCATGCCAGACATACTTGTAAATTTCGACAAATCATCTGGTACTTCAGCGATAAGTTCAATGCTAAACGTTGTAGTTCGTCTGAGCTATGCATTTCACCTAATGCTGGTGTTTCCCCTCTTGAACTTCTCCCTGAGAGCCAATCTAGATGAACTCGTATTCCCAAAGAAGCCCTTTTTGGCAACTGACACCAAACGATTCGTGTGTCTTAGTTTAGTCTTGTTAACCTTCTCATATGTAGCAGCCATTTTTATCCCATCTATATGGTACATTTTCCAGTTCATGGGAACAACAACAGGTGTTTGCATTGCCTTCATATTTCCAGGTGCAATCGCCCTGAGGTATCTGTCTTTCTCTCACTCGTATTTACTCCTCTCTCGCGTTTTTAAAGTTATTTTCGTTCTTTTTTATGCTAACATATTGATTTTTCCTGTTTCGCAGAGATGTTCACGGTATATCTTCAAGAAAAGATAAGATCATTGCAGTGATCATGATTGTTCAAGCAGTTGTGACTAGCTTTGTAACAATTGCTACTAATATCTACAATATGAGTGGAAATAGGCCATAGTTTATAGCTTGTCAATTCGATTTTTCCTTTCTTCAATTCTTTTTTCGTAGATGAGTTCGTTCGTATATGTAACACCAGAAAATGTCCAACATATATCAACGAATACAAAAATTTTAAATCAACGAAACACACGGTCATCGATAGCAATAAAACAATTTCACATCAATATATATTGAGATCTGTGTTCTGTTTCTTAGTTCTCTCCTATCAAGACATGGCATACCTTATTGTACATTGGCTCCTAAAGTTCATCATGCCCGGGGCAACTTGCACACACCTCAACAATTTCAAGTATCGGGTAACTCTATCACCAAGGCTTAGACAGATGAGAAAAAATCACTAGTGTTTTTGCCTCCGGAGGGATTTGAACAAGAGAGATCTCATTGTTCTCAACACAGATATCATATGCATAGGTCAAACTTTATGTTTCTTATTTTTGTTAGTGACGACAGAAGCCCTTGTAATCTGAACGGCTAAATGAGGATTCTCGACTGCAAATGCATCAAATTTAGGCGTGAAGACAATGCCCTCGACGTTCTTAATGATGAAGATCATGGCCTCCACCTTCAAATGTGAGTAAGATTTATATGTCTCCGAAATCTCCAAAAGCTCGAGAGCATTCGATGTGTTCAAAGATCCTAACATGTGGTGCTCACAGTATTTCTGCAAGAGTTTGATTTCATACTTGTCTGCTGCAATTGACAATGTGTAGACATGTTTTTCCAATTTCTCTTTAGGCAATTCTCCGCGATAAAGAAACTCAAGGAGAGCATGCAGCTCCACGTAGCTCAGCTCTGCCAGTGTTATTGTGTGACCCGGGGGAGCTTTGCACGCATCCGAATCCAACATGAACTTGAAAATAACAGAATTTGCTGACTGTTGGATCACAACAGCATATGGTCATTAACATCAAATAGAATAAGCGACGAGTTTTTGCTCTTTAACTAGGGTGTGCTTGGTATAGAGGAAAGTATTTTCTCTAAAATGCTTTCCAATATTTTGATGTTTGGTTGATCAAATGTTTTGAATTTTTTTTGTTTTCGGAAATACAAGTTCCTTAAAAATCAGGAAAGACCTCTTTGACATAAGGAAAATAAGTTCCATAAGTGACGTTTTATGCTCGTGGTCTCCCCCCATCTCCAACTCTCAACCTAACCTCAGTATTCCCACTCCCTCCACCCCCACCCACCTCACCTCCACTCTCATAGTGTTTACAACAACAACATACCCAGTGTAGTCCCACAAAGTGGCGTCTGCGGAGGATAAAGTATACGCAGACCTGACTTCTTAAATTTAAATGCTCTTGAGACTATTTTTGTTTACTTACCACACAAACCATATAATAAGTAAGAAAATCACATATTTCCCATAAAAAAACTTTTTTCGTGGAAAACACTTTCCTTTATACCAAACACACACCGCCACCCTTAGCTATAGAAGTTGTCTGTCGCTAATTACTAATATTGTTTTGGTAGTATATGTTGATACAAAAATTGTAACAAAATTGTAAATATAGAGAAAACATGGCTACATACCAGAAGAGACTTGTGTACTGCTATGGAGGGGCCATTGTTTCCAGGTTTAACAAGAATATCTTTATGAACTTGACCTTTAAATGCATTAAGACAACTACTGAGATAGTTAACCTTCTCCTTCATTTCAGTCGCTCGTCGCAAGGCAAGTGTAAATCCCTGTGGAACAATCAATTATAAGCAACTTCAAGATTCTCTACATGTTTGGTATGATGTGAAATGTTTTCCAAAAAATGACTTTTTTTTCTGTGGATTCGTCTCTCTAGAAATTGCTATCGACTCAAATGAGGCAATCAATTTTAATAGAAATTATCACAATTTTGCACTAGTATTGTGAATGACATTGAGTATAGTTTTGAGATTTTAATGGGACACTTGCTACCTCTCAGGTTCCAAGTAACTCTGTTCACCAAGAATTGGATAAGGCAACTTTGGATAGATGGAAAGAAACAACTTTTACGCATCTTGACTAATTCCATGGGGCACCTGTCACCTATCCACAAGCACAGATACCGAATAACTTTATCCAATAAGGCTTTGGACAGAAGGGAAGAAATCACCTAGTTCGTTGGCCTCCGTTGGAAATTAAACCTAGACCTCATGATTCTCAATCCTTTCATTGACCACTAGGCTATACACTCGAGAAATAACCCTAGTTCTCTGGCCTCCGCTGGAAATTGAACGTAAGACCTTATGGTTCTCAACATTTTCATTGACCACTAGGTTATACACTCGGGAAATCACCCTAGTTCTCTGGCCTCTACTGGAAATTGAACCCCAGACCTCATGGTTCTTAACCCTTTCATTGACCACTAGGTTATACACTCGGGAAATCACCCTAGTTCTCTGGATTCTGCTGGAAATGAACCTCAGACCTCATGGTTCTCAACCTTTTCATAGACCACTAGGCTATACACTGGAGAAATCACCCTAGTTCTTTGGCCTTTGCTGGAAACTAAACCTAAGACCTCGAGGTTCTTAACCTTTTCATTGACTACTAGGCTATACACTCAGGAAATCACCCTCTGGAAATTGACTTAAGACCCCATGGTTCTCAACCTTTTCATTGACCAGTAAGTTATGCACTCGGGAAATCACCCTAGATCTCTGGCCTCCACTGGAAATTGAACCTAAGACCTCATGGTTCTCAACCTTTTCATTGACCACTTGGCTATACACTCGGGAAATCCCCCTAGTTCTTTGGCTTCGCTAGAAATTAAACTTAAGACCTCATGGTTCTCAACCTATTCATTAACCAGTAGGTCGTATACTCGGGAAATCACCCTAGTTCTCTGGCCTCCTCTGGAAATTGAACCTAAGACCTCACGGTTCTCAACCCTTTCATTGACCACTAGGATATACACTTGGGAAATCACCTTAGTTCTTTGGCTCTGCTGGAAATTAAACCTAAGACCTCATGGTTCTCAACCTTTTCATTGACCAATAGGTCATATACTCGGGAAATCACCCTAGTTCTCTGGCCTCCGCTGGATATTGAACCTAAGACCTCACGGTTATCAACCCTTTCATTGACCACTAGGCTATACACTTGGGAAATCACCCTAGTTTTTTGGCCTCCGATGGAAATTAAACCTAAGACCCCATGGTTATCAACTCTTTCATTGACCACTAAGCTATACACTCAGAAAATCACCCTAATTCTCTGGCTAGGAAATTGAACCTAAGACCTCATGGTTCTCAACACCTTCATTGACCACTAGGCCATACACTCACACGCTTCTCAATCTGAATTTGTTTCATAATATCTAGAAGTAAAGATCAAATTAATTAATCAAAAGAAAGAGATCATATGCATGCCTTACTAACAGATAACTTGGATGAAGAAGTATTAGTTGCATGATTTGTAGAATTGTTGACAGGTCCTCTTGTATTTGCACTGTTATTATCAGACTTGGTACTGGTTAATAAGGCATGTATGGCTTTAGCCCCATTAACACATCCTTCACATAATTTATTCCTTGCTGACAAACCACATATTTCACAAGGCATCTTCCCTACATAAAACTAAAAAATATAAGCAAAAACAGAGAAAACAGAGAGCACTTGACACTTAGTCCTTTTAGCCTATGTTACTTGGACTCTTCAAAATGTTGCATTGTTGCCAAACTTGTGTCAGGTTCTCCAAATATGCACTACTTTTGGAGGATCTGACATGCACCTGACCCTAACGACATCTTTGAAGAGTCCGAGCAATATAGCTTTTAGAAATATTTTGTGTGTACTTGATGAAGTTTTTCACTCAAGTTGTTTGAATGGTTGTTGAAGACGGAGTCAGGATTTTCACTAAGAAAAAATTGAATATAAAAAAAGTAAACACACGAAGAAGGGTGAGCATCAAATGGATTAGAGTTATTACAAAACTAGAAGAGGTTTGATTCCTCTTTGATGTAAAGGAAAGGCTAAGCAAGTTCAACATCTACTATTTATACCTAAAAATAATGTTTCATTGTTTCATTATAATGTATGCTTTGCACTAATAATATATTAGCTAAAATGAAGTTAAAATTAGCATGCATCATTTGAATTTGACATAGTTCATCTAATTTTCACATAATGCATTCAATCAATAAAGAAGTACTCTTCCGATAAGAGATCACATTAAATTCAACAACAATAACATATTCAGTGGAATCTGACGCAACCGTGCGCTACCTATCACATCTACACACCACCCAAATAAAGCATATGAGATCACATATGGAAATTAAACTAGAATTATAATCGGAAATTTGATTATAACAAATCCTAAAACAGAATTTAATAGTAACTAATTCCAGTTTTCTGATCCCCAATTTAATAATAGAATTAAAAATAAAAATAAAATACAAAAATTTATAAGGTATTTAATTATAAAATCCGAATAACTAACCAATTTCTGTGTTTATCGAAACAAAGTTCATCACGCTTTGCAATTGCATGCCTTTATAATTAATTTGCATGGTAAAATAGCCCTAATGGGCTTTTACATGGGCTGGGCCGGTTTCTTTTTTAATTTTTATTTATTTTGTGCTCAAATTTTAAATGAACAACTTTCACATATAGCAAACATAAAAATCATATTTGTATGCTATAACTAATAGTTTGCATAATTGTGTTTCATAGCAAACTTTATGTTTGCTATGGCTATTAATATGTATATTTCGCTATACATATACAAAAGAAATTAATTGTATAATTTGTTTCGGTATACATATACAAAAGAATCAATTGTATAATCTGTGTTTGTATAAAACGAGAAAGAGAGAAAGACAAAAGAAAACTGGGCAGGGGAAGATCGTATTTGTATAATCATAAGTGTATAGGACGAAAATATATGCATTTGTATATACAATTTTCTCTCGCTTTATACAAACACAAACGCAATGTATACATCTGTGTTTGTATAAAGTGAGAGAGGCGAGTGAGAGTGGCGAGCTAGATCTGGGAGAGTGGAGGGAGGGGAACGAAAATATATGTATATATACAATTTTCTCTAGCTTTATACAAACACAAGCATATTTTATACATTTGTGTTTGTATAAAAGCGAGAGAGGCGAGGGAGACTGCCCAGCGATTATCACCAGGGTGAGGCGAAATAGCAACAGTTTGATATGGAGTACAATTAAATCAAACTATGGTTATAACATTTAATTTGAATTAATAGTTTGCTATTATATACAATTTTCTCATTTTAAATTGAGAAAACTTCAAAAATAGCAAACATAATAAACATAAAAGGCTCTGTAGCTATAGTTTCGATAATTAACTAATGCCGATAAAGACTTTAGCACTTTTTGTTAATGTGTATATTTACTGTCATTGAAACTTATTTTTGTTATATAGTGTATATAGCTTGTTTGGTCGAAACTTCTGAAATGTTATATTTATAAAGAAATTAAACCATTTGTTTTTGAAACAAAATGTGTTTGGCCAAGTTTTTGCGGAAGAAATAAGTATATGTATAAGTATAATCAATGAGTTTAACTTAGTTCTAAGAATGTTATAGGTCAAATCTATTAAATTTAAGTTCTCAATTCACCTTTGACTATGAGGATGAAAAAAATCCCCAACTTTCAAGTGTGTAAGTATAGACAATTTATTAAAAAAAAATTTATGTAATTTTTATATTTAAACACAATTTAATTTTAAATTTATCATATCACTATCAATGACATAATTTTATATAAATGCATAAATGTCAATGACATATTTTAGTCCATAAATTTCAAGTTCTATTTCCTAATGAATTGACTTCACAATAAAAAAAAATTAAAAAAAAAATTGACTTCACAATGAGGTAGTATTGGAATTTTGTTTTAAATAAAATTGATGAAGTAATAATAATTTTCGATGAAGAAATGTCTTTTGAATGAAAAAATGTGTTCCTTTCCTTCTTTGGTTATCACTCAATTATTTAAATTCAATTTCTTGTAATTTCTAATATAACTTTTACCGAAAATGTTTATTTTCAATATTTTCCAAAAGAAAAATTCTTCTCCAACCTTCTGCCCAAAAAATATTAAGTCCAAATTCTTGCTTTTCAATAAAATTTCTTTATTGTTTGCTTGGTGCAAAAAATCAAATATCCATTAAATTTATTTACGTACAATCTCACAGGAGAGGGAGAAAATATTGTTCTAGGTTTGCACATTTCAAATCCTTAATTCTTTTAATTCATTGTTTATATTATCGAATCTTCATCTTTTTATTCTTCGTATATTTTTCTGTTCTTGAAATATATATATATATATAGTTTAGCTACTTCAACCAAATCAGAATTCTTCACTAATAACATCATTATTTATAACAGATAGGCACTTTGAAACAATGGCAAAGTTAGCCTAAGTTACGAGTTTAGTAGAATTCAGTACCTTTGGCTCAATTCCATATTTATAATAAAAGATTATTTATATATTATTATCCAAAATACATTATAGTTTAGATTCCATGAATAAAAAATCTTAGTTTTTAAGGGCAAATTGTAGGGCCGATTCTAAAGGGTAGAAAATAAGGGAGGTGTCTTAGACCCCAACTTTAAGGGCCCCTATCTTTTTAGCAATTATAAAATTATAGTAAAGGAAAGAATATTTTTTAAATTCAAAATATAATAGTAATATTTAACTTGCTTAATATTTTAGGTGCTCAACTGAATGGACTTTTTAAAAATTAAAATTAATAAAATCTTATCTTAAATTAACAATATTTAAGAAATATTATATTGATTGCCATCAAAGTCTTTTGGAAACTATATATATTTTAGTGTCCACTAGGCCATGAACAGTGAGGCATCTACTTGATATGCAAAGCACGACTTCTTATTTATTTAAGTTTAACAGACAAGTTGTTGATTCTTTAATTCTCAACAAGAAATATCCAAAAAAATATATAGTTCTAATATTATCCTTTTTATTTTCAAGAATTAGACTTTAGTACAAATATATATATAGTTCCCACTTGTATTATTTTTAGAATCTAACAAGAATAAAATAAACTATCATATTTTTATGAGTTTCGTACCTTAACTATCAATTGTTCTATTTATCTATCTAAACTATTATTCTCTTGTATTAAAATAGGTCTCGATATTGAGTTGGCCTACATGCGCCTGTTGTTGAGTGGTAATAATATTTGGCCAACTTAGATCGAGATGTGTTTTTAATATAAAGGGATTGATAGTTTAGCTAGATAAAAGTTAACAATGGATAGTTGATGTATGAAACTCGTGAAAAAAATGATAGCTCAAATGTATTTCGTTTTTTAACCATAATAAACTGTTGTTTTTATTACATCTTTCTCTATTTAAAAATATTTTAACTTCAAACTTCTCATTTTACACCTAATGACATGATTTTGTAGCCACATAAAAATGTTTATGAATGTTTCAGGTTATATTGCAGGGGCGGAGCCAGGATTAAGAGTTTGAGGGTTCTAAATTTCCTTTAGAACCGTCAATCAATTTTGTTAGGGTTCACAAATTAATAAACATATATATTTATTTTTTTCTAGTACAAATACAGAATCTACGAAAAATTTATTGAGTTCGTCCAAACCCACAAATTTCCACCTAGCTCCGCCTCTGGGTTATATGTTTCGAGAGCCTTTCTTTCTTAAACTATGTAACCGGCCAAACACCATCGCAATCGAGGGGTCTTCAACACCTTAATACTATTTTAAAGCTTAGGAATTCAAAAGAACTATCTAACATGACAAGAAATTTGATACCTTCTATAACAATTTCAAGTGGATTTCCAAAATATATATTCTCCATTCGTTTTTAAAAAAAAAATTACTTTCCTTTTTAGTCTATTTAAAAAAGAATAACTCCTTTTTTTTTTTGCAACACTTTATTTTCAACTTTCTACTTGACATATTTAATTAAAACCGCAAGATTAAAAAATATTTTGGTACATTTGACATAACTTTAATATTCTAGAACCACAAGATTGAAAAATCTTCTTTATTTTTCTTAAATTTCGTGTCAAGTCAAACTAGGTCGTCATTCTTTTTGAAACAGAGGGAATATTATCTATCTATATATATGTGTGTGATGAGGGAAAATAGCTATATCACTTCAAATAAAAACTAGCTAAACCTAAAGTATAACAAGATGGCTTTTCTTGCCTTTATGCTTCTTGTTCTACCTATGTTAGCTATGTCAATAGAGAACACAAACATGATGAGCAACAACATGGCAAAGCCTGGATGCCAAACAAAATGTGGGAACTTGAGTGTTCCTTATCCATTTGGTATTGGTATAGATGCTGGTTGCTCTATACATCCTATATTTGACATTAGGTGCAACACTTCCTCGAACCCTCCAATTGCCTATCTCAACACCGGAGCCACGAATGTACTAAACATAACAACTAAACCCATGGAGGTCATCGACATAACAACTAGCCAAATACCGTATTAGAAACGTGTTGGCAAGCAAATGTTATGAAGAACATGGTGAACTATCTGCTCAACAACTTGTGTTTCTCAATACAGGAGTGTCGTTTTTCACGTTATCTGAGAAAGATAACAAGCCCCGGAAATAGCCCCGGAAACCACACTAATGTATGGTCCTTTAACCCTTGTAGCTACGCATTCCTTGGCGATCATGAAAAGTTCACATTTAGGGGTACATCAGACTTCATGGACCCAAACTTTGTGAACAGAATAGTGAATGATGTTCCTATTGTGATTGACTGGGCAATTGGGACTAAAAATTGCAGTGTGGTTAGAAACTCAACAACTTATTCATGTATGGAACATAGTCTATGTATTGATTCTGAAAGTCGACGTGGAGGTTATCGTTGCATTTGTGAGGAAGGATATGACGGAAATCCTTATCTTAGTCCAGGCTGTCAAGGTTTGTGTGACCATCTCATCTAAAAGTTTAAGCTGTTAGAAAGAGTCAAGCACGTGCATGCTTTCAGGATTTTTGTCTGCTCTGATACCATGTTGAACTGTGTGACTATCTCATCTAAAAGCTTAAGCTGTCAGAGGTACATTAACTTTCTGATGAAGTAATTTGAGTGTTCTTGTAATAGATATCGATGAGTGTGCAACGAGCCCTTGTGATGGAATTTGCAAAAACACTCCAGGAGGGTTTGAGTGTTCGTGTCCGAAGGGATATTTTGGCGATGGAAAGAAGGGACGTGGTTGCCAGAAGGACCATGATTTCCCCATCTTAAAGTTATCTCTTGGTATGTAAACACAATTACAATGGCATGAAGTTTCAATTTATCAAACCATAGACATAAAAAATATAAACATTAGATGATTATAATATGGTTAGAAATTATAGAACCAAGCTCAAAATGATTTAGGTAGTTTTAGTCTTTAATTATCTTAGTCAATAAGCATATCACTATAATAGGGAGATTTTACAATTACCAGTACATGTGGAGAGGAGACTCTCCAAACTTATATATTCAACATAAACTATCTTTAACATGAAAAAACTCAAATATGTCATCAAACTTTGAGAAAAGATTCATATATGCCATCGTTAAACGTTTGGTTCATCTATGTCATTTCTATTTGAGAAGAAGGTTCATTGATGCCATTATTTGTTAACGTAAAACAGTTCCAATTTTGCAAAATTATTTTTTATATGTGGTCAATTATGATTTGGCCACGTCACTAATTAAATCATTTTTTCAAAGGGAAAAAGTTTAAATATGTCATCAAACTTTGAGAAAAGGCACATCTATCTCATCAGTTAAAAATTTGGCTCATCTATGTCATTTCAGTTAACATAGATAATGAAATGGATGAGCCTTTCTCAAATGGAAATGACATAGATAAACCAAACTTTTAACGGATGATATCGATGAGTCTTTTCTCAAAATTCGATGACGTATTTGAGTCTTTCTCAAAAAACAAAACCCTCTTTTGAGACACAATTCCTCGGTACACACTATGTTTCTCCTTATGACTTGAATGAATAATATAAAGAAAAAAATACCTAAATACACAACTTATTTTATCATATTTTTAAAAAATTTCCACCATTTGAAAAAATTACAAAAATCCTTACTCCCTCTCCTCGGATATATCACGATGTATCGGTCGGATACATCACTTTATCCATCGGATACATCATTTTACACGATCGTATCGATCCGAAATCAAGACGCGATGTATTGGAATATTGAGTGATGTATTCGAAATTGGGACGTGATGTATATTGGATACATTTTGTAATTTGGAAAAGAGTATGGATATGATGTAATTAGCTCTTAATACTATGTGATTTATGTAAAAATCCCTGAGACTTTGTCAACAACAAATATCCCAAGAAACATTGTCAAAAAAACAAATATCCCAATATTTTTTTATTTTTGACATTCTACTATATTGATCAATTGCAGGTTTAGGTCTTGGATTGTTGTCAATACTGGTTAGTGTTACATGGATATATTTCAGTTCAAAAAGAAGAAAAATTCTAAAATTACGAGAGAAATTGTAACAACCGACGATTTGAAATAATTATGAAGAGGCTTAGAATTGGAAATAGTCATTTTTGGAAAGATTTAAAAATCTGGAAATTTGGCCAAGTATGGAAAAAGGTGAGTTTTTGGCCAACTTTGAGCAGTCATGACTACTAGCTCAGGATGAGTTAGGCATAGTTCCAGTTATGGTTGCAAAGCTCGTGGAATGATCTTTCCAACGCTACCAAGTATGCTCGATTCCGAGTTCGTATGAGTGAGTTATGCCCTTTGAAAGTTGGGCAGTTGGCAGGGAATCCGTCCGGAAATTTTTAAGGGCATTTTGGTCTTTTCCCTAGCCATTCCTTTTGGAGTTATATTGTTGTGTTAGACTTATTTTGGATCATTTTTGTCCCATTTTTAAAAGAGTGAGAGTTAGGGCTTGAGAGTGAAGAGGAGAAGAAGAGAAGATCAAGCAAGGAGATCAAGCAAAGATCGTCGTGAAAATCGTCGGGGCTGATCCCTACTAGGTATGTGAGTCCATAGGGTTGGGTTGGTTCTTTCCCCCACCCTCCAAACTCGTCCCTTTTTGTCCAAGAAGTTGTTAGTTGTGTTGTTGATGTTGTTGAAGTCCCTTGTTGTTTTGGGCATGTTTTTGGTTGTGTTTTGAGCTGAATCTATGGTATGTTGAGGGATTTTGTGACCCTTAATGTTTGGGGCTGAAACCAATGAAGTTTAGAAGGTTTAGAGTTGGAGAAAAGGGGAGAAAAAGTCGAGTTTTCTGGGCGAGGGGTTGGCGCGTCGCGCCTGCCAGCTCACCCCAAAAGGGGTTCTGAACTTTCCCCCTTGGCGCGCCGCGCCTAGCAGAGCGCCAGCAAGACCCCTCTGAACTTCAAGGGCTGGCGCTCCGCGCCTTGCAGAGCGCCAAAGACTCCAACCTACCCCTTTCATTCCCCACTCTTTCATGCATGTTCCTTGGTATTGTACCTATGTTTTATAGTTGTTTCCAACACTCTAAGGTACATTTAAACCTCCTGAACTCATCCGTAACATGTGATCAAACACCTTGAATCCATAAATCCAATTCAAGGAAAGTTAGTTTTCAAGTCAAGCAAAGTTAAGAAGTAAGTCAAGCAAGTTCTTAAAGTTGTTCAAGAGTCTTTATTGAATGTTTTAACTTCATTTTAAGACTCAAGTTTCAAGTCAAGCAAAGAGCTTAGAGTTTCAAGCTAAGAAAGAGGTCTCAAGTTTCAAGTTGAGTCAAGAGTTTAAAAGTTGAGTTCATTTCTCAAAAGCTATTAGGGAACTAAGTATTCTCAAAGAAGTTTATAAATGTTTTTACATTT